TTCAGCCTTATTCGAGCATTGTTTTCCAGGTAGGTTTGGACGTTCAACACAGGGAGTACACAGAATGCATAGTTTCAAATTTCAGCATTTCAACCTCAGCTATTGTTGATTCCTAGAAGGAAAAAGCTGCGCAAGCTGGCAAATCTTGGCTGTGTTTTTGAGGTGTTTTGCTGGCTTGTGGTTTGGTCCCATTTACCGCCTTTGCGTTGAATATGCCCAAGCCATTGTGCTGGGCACTAGCTACGGCATAGCACTCAGATCTGCGACGGATCGTGAGCACATTGTGCCGCAGTGAGCATGGCATGTACATTCTGCTCATGCATACTCAACTGTCGGAAGTGTCGTGTTTCCTTTTGAATGCATGTTTCGGGTGCAGCAAATTGTCAGGCAACTTGTGAGGCTCTACAGTTCTTGAGCTCCAGAACTCTGGCAGATGCTGCCCTTAAATGGGGCAAAGAGGCAGGGGTAACGATACGGGCAAACTCTGTTGAAACATGTTGAAGATTCACTTGAATATAAAGTTTAACATTCCCTTCAATATCCTCTGAAAAGTGGTGTGGGCGAGCTGGGGGGTTTGCGCGTAATGATACTGCAGCTTTGGTGATAGTGACCCAAGACATCGCCAGTAGAACTGAATAGATCTCAACAGAAATCTGACAGCCAGGAGCATCTGTTTGCTTTGATCCTGGCTGCTGGACTTGTGAAGGCACACAGAGCGCTTGAGTGATCCTGTGTGCTTTGGTCAGTGGAGTCATTGCAGAAACCACAGCTCTCTTCTTTGATGCAATGTGGTCTAATGTGAAGTGCTAAGTACACAGCAGATGGAAAGTAGAGCGGGTTGGTGAGTCAACCTGTGCCCATGTCAAGTCTCAGGGTGTGTGCATCCTTTGCATCATGCATTTCCAGCAGATGGGCTTCGAGGCTCATCTTACCAACTTGCAAGCCTGTACGAAATAGCTTCACTACAGACATTCAGTTTCATTTCCTTTCCCTGATTATTAAAGAAAGCCTGCAATTTTGGTCATTGCGTGCACAGAAGCATCTTGAAGCTCCATGGGTTCGATGAACTGGTGTAGTTTCCAACATGTTCAACATCTCCTGTTGTTTGTTCTCACAGTGAAGGCTGAGCTGTCGCGCTTTGTTGGCATCTTCATGGTTGCTACCAATCTTCTGACAGTTGTTGTGTCCCTGGCTTTTTTTGGAGACCAGGCTTGGGGGGTTGGAGAGAGATATGAGGAGCTGGGGCCAAGCAGTGAAGAGAGCATTCAATGCATTCGACTTTGCAGGTGACTGCTTCCTGGAGTTTTTTTGGGTCTGCATGCTCCACCTTGGCTGGCATCTGGCTTCTAAATCAATGGTACTCGGGCTCCAAAGAGAGCGCTCGATTGAGATCCACTAACGATGTGTGTGGTCATGCAAACCTGCAGTGACCTGTGTATGTGCATTTCCATACATTTTCTAGATGACAGTTGAAAACACTGTGCATTTTCCAACCTGGTTTCACAGCCATTTAGAACGGCCAGTCCTTCGCGCACGTCCCACAGAGGCTGCAGGGCCAGCTCGGATTCTTTGCCGTTTAGCAGAAAACAGACAGCTGGAGGTCTCTGAGGTCTTTGAGCTCTTTGAGGTCTTGCAATTCTGGCATGACTCTGTGGTAGGACAGCAGCCGCCTATGCAGTGAACTTGGCAGCGCCTTTGCCAAAGTTTGCTGAGGCAACACAACATCATGAATCATGGGCAAAAAAAAATTATGTGGAGACTCTTAGAAGGATCAGTGCCATCCCTCGTACACATTGAGAGATAGTAAATGACGAACGACAGTGCTTCCTTTGGAACAAGACAGAGAACAACGCTGCCGCTGTGCTAGCTAGAGCTACTTCGTAGACGTAGTGACAGAGGAAAGTGTAGCACCGATGGTACACACGGTATGCTCGGTACACCCTGTACGATGGATCTAGCGGGGCCTTCCTTCTGCAGGCAGCGCCAGAAGTTTTCAAAGCGCTTGCAAAGCTCCTGAGCGCGCCAAAGCCAAAGAAGCGGGTCAGAAGCCCAAGTCATGCGATGTCATGCATGCAAATCCACAACATGTTTTTGAGACAGTTTTCTTCTAATTGAGAGACAAGCTGAGAAGCTGCCTTTGGATCATTTTGGACCGGTGATCCAGCCTGCCAAGCTCTTGTGTTTTCCATTCAGTTTTGCTTATTTCTGAGGAGGAGAAGGCCAAGGTTGCAATGGACAATGCCGCAAATCCCTCAGACCCACACTTTTGATTCCAAACTTCTAATGAGCGCAGTAAAAATCTTTATGCATTCGAACAAGTCTAGACGATTTTCTGCGCTGTCTTCACTTTAATTCTGTAGCTTCTGGTTTGACGTAGATTGTCAAGACCGTTGAAGACCTACACACTGTATATATAAGCCATTTATATGTATGTGATAAAATATATAATATATAAAATATAATATTACATTATATAATATATAATATGTAATATGTAATA